AGTCTCAGTCCATGACTCCATTCTTCGGCAACTACGGTGCAAGGCCGATACTGTAGAAACTTGCAATTTGTACCCTTGACCTGACCTTGACCTTGACCTCAAACTTTAAATTAAGTACATGTTTTTAGTAGTTCGTGATGAGAGCTTTCGATTGGCGTTTGAATTTTCCAAATCGGACCATTAGTTCGGGAGATAACAGGGGGGTAAAATTTACCCCCCCCCCCCCCAGCCCCGCGCGTTCGGCTGGAGACCCCAGCCCCGCGCGGGTTAAGGCTCGACATTGTGTTGTCTACGATGAGACAGCTGATAACTCATTCCCGTGCGTCGTAATTCTATAATGACCTTTGCTTATTGTCACATGTGCGCCGCATTCGCGATTGTTGCCGACGCCTGTTTGCAGGTCAGCCCACTACAGTTGTTATACATATCGAAAAACCGATAAACTTTTAGGCGAAAAAGGCACTATTCCAGGCCCATTTTTGATTTTTTTTTTGCGATATTAGGTAAAAACAGAAGCTTCTTATCCTAGGAAAAATAAAATGGGAAATCATTGGAAGGTGACACACTACCTTTAATCCTTATAGCTCCCTGGCGCCCGGAGCATTCGCTAGCATTGCATTGCCAGCTGCATTACCAACATCACATTTGCATTACTTTGGGTTCGCCATAGTTAACAGTAGATGAGCCGGCCACAGCAAACCCATGCCTCATTATTTTTTCCTTCCAAGCAGTCAACTGCGAAGCTAACCAGCCGCCCGGCCCACCACCGCGATATGGAACAACGCTAGAGTGCGCCATTTGGCTGCGGCAGTGCCCCACCACGCCGGGGCTGTTTGACAGGTCACCCGCACCGTGACCTCGCCCCCCCCCCCATCAGGCCCAGCTCGGTAGTGACCTCTCCTTTAATATCGCATGGACTCGACTAAGGCTCAACGCCATCTAGTTGCGTCTGGAGCTCCTTACTAGATCCACTGTACGTAGGTAAAGCCCACATTCATGTGTGGTCCCCCGTTTGAAACAGCCCATCCCGGAACTTCTGAAACTACGAAGGGCCCTGCCGTCAGCTCCGGGGATAGGGGCCCATGGAAGGCCCAAGGGGGGTCCCTAGGGACCGGACCCCCCTTCGCTACGCCACTGTGTGGATCAGTGTATGCTATCGTTTATCGTGCTTATGTGTATTTTTTTTATGAAAATATAGCAACTGTCCATCGTGTAGCCATAACAATTAGCCAATAAGCTCTGATGACCTCGCGCTGGCGCTTGGCGCGCGACTTTGGCCATTGCCAGACTCCTTTTTCATGGTGCGCCGCAGGTTCGGGTGGTCTCTTGGGAAAACGACGATAGCTTGGAGCAAGAAGTAGATAAGGACCTGTGGTCTTCATCATCGGATAGAAAAAAAACATCGGCGCATGAAATGACACCAAACAAAAAAAATATGTGCACGTGCAATAACGTTTAATTGCTTAGGGCACTTCCATTACTTAATAGTCAACCCTAGTATTTGGCGCGACTAGCCTCAGGAATGTTCTGAAACTAAAACCGTTTCTTCGCAATTAACTTGGCCCGCGCCCCACGTCATCCCAGCTTAGGCACGACAAAAATGAAATAATGCTTCAGGTCAGGATCACTGGCCTGAATTCCAATGCTTAAAGTTTACTCAAAACCGGTGTGGCTGATGCACTATTCACTACATTTCGTGACGGCCACCATTGTGTTGCACTTTTTCGGTAAGCTATAAGTTAATAAGGAAAGAATTGGTGAGTGGGTTGAAAACAGCCCTCACCCTCCACCCCCTTCTTCTGGAAACATAAGTAACCGAAAGATCTGGCGATGGTTTATCCACATCCTCTGCCGCCGCGCTGCTAGGCCTCGATTCGTTCGGTATGTGGATTCCTGAGCGGTCCTCCCCGGAGGCAAGGTGAAAGGTCATGGCCTGCATCATAAATTTATACGTTGCTGAATATGTTTTATAGTTCTTCCAAGGCCTTGGACACCGTTTTATTATACCTGATAAGCATTTCACTTTCTTGTCAATCAATACAGTTAAAGAAAACTTTATCATAATCTCATACTGCGGCAATTGTAGTTCTGCTTACGGTTGCCTCTTTATGATACGGGCCACCACCACCTCCACTGCGCTGGAGCTCTGGCGTTCTACCCCTCCCCGCTACGGACCGGCCCCCGGGCTAGGTGTGTTAGTACTGAGCGCAAACGTGTAGTAGTCACGTGACTTTCATTCACGTAGCGGGAACGGAAGCTATAGGCGATACCAAGGACGGGCTCTGGGGAGGCAACCGGCACGGAAAAATAGCACGATTGTAGTTTTGGAAGAATATCTGTTGCGGTAAGAGGAATTATACAAAACATACGTCCTAGGAGCAAACATGTGTTATTCCTCCATACTTGCGCTACATTGCCTTTCTCGAATGGCCAGCACTTAGCAAATAATAGCACAATTCTAAATTGGTAATATATGTGTACAGTAGCAACTGCGGGTCCCTGTACCCGTGTCGCGGAGCACAGAAGAGACGTGAGGGGGCACGTATTAAGTAATGCGATAGTTGTTCATGTGGATAAGGCCGGGCACTTACCAAGGTGGGAAGGGGCTGAAATTTTAGAGAAAGGTATTAACAAAAAAATAAGGAGGGCACTAGAAGCTGCACACATCAAGACCAAGGACACACTAAACACAAGAGGGGGATTTTATTCGATGGCAGTTAGCGACAGCCAGATTATCCTTGCTGAAACGGAGCACGATTGTGGGGAACGAACGTGATCGGATGTAAAACATCGAAATGTCATTTCCATGAGTGATTTATTAATGCTGATGTTTTTTAAAATGTGATTTGTGACTTTAGGTATATTTTACTGACGATGGCACATTGTTGTCGAAGCGTCTAAAATACAAAAAGATTTAGATTTTAATTATCATTTTGGTTTGCAACTATTGGCCATCAGATTTTATAAATATGTCTAACAATACCGAACAATTAGATCAAACAACTAACTACCGGGCTTCTAAAAAAAGTTAGACGATTTTATAACTAACGTATTGAAGGGTGTATCAGTGTCACAAAACATAATTGGGTATCACCTAAAAGCCTCATCAAAGACATTTCGTTTGAGGGGATTTCGATCCTCGGCAGTCGCCTTTCTGAGCCGCGCCGAGGTTATGTTCGAGATGATTCCCTTTTTGCTCGATGCACAGTTTAGCCCGGCGAAGCGCGACCTCTGCTGCAGCACGACCCACGGAAAGCTGCAGACGGCACACCGCTGACTTCACTGCATCCTTATGATCTTCGGAACTTTTTGGGTGGTTTCGGTACACCTGGGACTTGAGGTGGTCCCATAGGAAAAAGTCCGGTGGGGTTACGTTCGGAGAATTCGCCGACCACGGGCGTGTCTCGAACCTCGAGATCACGCGCCGCCCGAAGCGCTCCCACAGCCCCTCCCGGTTTTCTTTAGCGGTATTGGCGTGGCACCATCTTTCTGGAACCATTGGATCTTAAGCGTTTCCGGATCTTTGCTCATCCTGATATTGCAGAAGAACCCTCCAAAACGTCGCCAGAGCCACCCGATATCGCTGACCACTAACAGTCTGAGTGGCGCATCTCTCACACGAGTGGTGTTCGCCGTGAGCCTTTGATTGGGTTTATGGCCGCCGCTGTGTTCCTTGAATTGCGTGAACCTATTGTTAATACTTCTTCGAGCCGGAAACTTGTCAATAATGTGGAAAATTTTGTTTCAAGATGTTGCTCTCTTTGCCTTAAAGTGTTTGCGGATCTTCCGTGGTGTCGAACCGACCGACTTAGGGAAAACATAATTTCACGAGTTTTGCTTTTACTTCCTAAGACCACGGCTTCATTTTTTTAAGCTCAAATCATGGTGTCATATAAATGTACGAAAAATTCTCCGTTTTTCCACGTGCATTGACTTTGCTTAACCCGGCATTTGCTGGGGTATTTCGCCACCCATCGTTTGCTGGGGCGGGGGGGGGGGCGTTAAACGCCCCCAGCCGATAACTCGAGAACCAATAGGCGCAGCGAAACGCACGAGGCGGCAAACGAAAGAGCGCGACGAGACGCTTCAGATGAGTACTTAAAAGTTGAATTTTGAGGTCACAGGTCAGGTCAAGGTCAGGTCAAACACCGGAAATCGGGCTTTCAGTAGCATGGACTTCAGGACTTCGCAATGGGCGCCTCTCGTCATAAACTCTGTCAAAACGGTGCACAATCCATCATATAAGGCTTACAAGAGTGTCAGCTCCATGTAGGGGTCAGTCAAGCATAGGTCAGGGTCAAGGTCAGGTCAACCGGGTAGGCACATATCCCCGAAAATCAAAACTGATATTCGCAGCCTGTGACACATGTTTTATGGGTAATTTGGAGCGTAGAACACGATGGTGACATTATTTTTCTCATATGTGTACGAGTTTGGCTCAAAAAGCTCAATTTAAGAAATTCATGCATCATGGTCGTGAGGTAGTCACGAGAAATTGCCAAGACTCAGTTCAAGATTTTGGAAAATGCGGAACAATAATCAATAATCGAAGATAGCCATTAGATTGCTCATGGTATTGGCAGTCTAATGGCGTTTACGGCATGTCTGTATATCTATTCTGTGATTTTATATGATTTTTTGAACATATGCCGTTTTTGGTCGAAAACTCAGAAATCATGACGTCTTTAAAACCTCGATATCTCAAAAATTTTCCGACCGATTTTTTTTTGAAACTTTGTCACAATAAACTTCAATCAATTCACTACAGGTACTTAAAATTTGGCGCGCCTGCGGCGCACCGTTTTTATGCTATGGCCCGGCGAAAAACGTGGGGGCGTTTAACGCCCCCCCCCCCAGCAACTCGCGGGTTAAATGTTGTTAGGGGTCCTCTATTTGCAAAAGAAATCCGTCTAACTTTTTTAGAAGCCCGGTATTAAATAAACAAACAAAGAAACGGTGTTCATGAACTTTTCACGAAGAAATATACAAACAACAAGCCCTGCAGTTATCGGTTTCGAATTTATTTCCACAAATGAAATATAGCCCGCTCTGCACCAGTAAATAAACCACTAAACTGAAATGAAAAGACAGCTACAACCTAAATCGTATCAATATCACCCAAAGCAGCAGCAACAGCATGGCATCTGTCGACGGCGCAGGGCAGCGAGTGTCGTCACACAGCCCAACGGAGCGGGCAGCGAGTGTCGTCACACAGCCCAACGGAGCGGGCAGCGAGTGTCGTCACACAGCCCAACGGAGCGGGCAGCGAGTGTCGACTCGTCACACATCCCAACGGAGCGGGCAGCGAGTGTCGGCACAGCCCAACGGAGCGGGCAGCGAGTGTCGACTCGTCACACAGCCCAACGCAGCGGGCAGCGAGTGTCGGCACAGCCCAACGGAGCGGGCAGCGAGTGTCGTCACACAGCCCAACGGAGCGGGCAGCGCCGCTGACGGCTGAGTGGTCAGCCCGTCTTGGCGTTGGCCTGGCGTTTGCTGAGCGCCTGCCTGGCCGGCTGGGTGAGCAGCGGCGGTCCGGGCAGCACGACTGCCGGCCGCCGCTCGTCCAGCAGAGCCACCTGTGGGCACACCCACCCCGCGGTCAGCCATCATCACCGGCGGCCACCTGTAGGGGAGAGAGGGGCGGGGGGGGGGGGGGAATTTAGCACACCTCATCCTTCATCAATTTCACACATGTGAAAATTTCAGACCAAGGTCATTCAAGGTCAGGTCACTAGGTCACTTCAAGTGACCTCACCTTGTAAAAAGTTTCAATGTCTGCCATAGCTACACCGAGAGACCGATTGCTTTAAAACTTTAAGCGATTGATACGAGCAATAGTACGCACAACTTGTATATCTCAGAATTTTGATATCGTCACGAATGGTATTGGGTATTGAGTTTTTCGCGATTAAGTTTTAGTTATCATTGAGATATAATAGCCTTTGCTCATATTAAGTTCCGAATGGTAAATGAAATGCAAAATTCTTTGAAAAATACCTATAGTTCGTCCATGGGACTTCTTCAGGGTCACAATCAAAAGGTGTTACGGTTACAGAGAAAAGTGGGTTTTGAATTTTAAGATAAGACAGGCACGACACGCGGCATACATAGCAAATACCACCGTTTCAAAAGTATCGGATACGGACACATGCATGCAATCCAAAATAACGAAGTACAGAGTCAATAGTCGAACAGTGCTGAACCTGTGAAACTTAAATGGAGTAGGTACCCTCAACACTGCAAATGAAGACTACGCAAATGAAAACTACGCAACTACATATATTCTCAGCCTAGTGCCTAGTCAAATAATGTAGCACTACAGCCATATCAACATAAATAAGATGATCGACAGACATGAAATTCGGACACAATAAAGAGATGAAACAGAAAATGTAAACACATAAATCGGGATCATTGCTGGCTATACCAGCGAAAACAGCACAATCATACACTAACAATACAATAGAACATACCTGCCGAGCGATGGACGAGTCTACTTTAGCAGTATAGGCCAAGTATCGACTTGACTATTTAAGAGGGGTTGTCTGTCCCGGATAGCCAGTGCCTCAGCTCAATCTTGCGGTCCGCGCCATCTTTGTTCCGGCGGAGGATAGCTATTGAAAGCTGAGGCACTGGTGCATCAGGCTGACTCTCTCTCATGTGGTCCCCAAAGGGGGTCTGTTGCGTGCGGTTGACTGCATCTCTGAAGTGCTCGTCAAATCGGTACCGCACGCAGCGCCTTGTCTCACCAATGTATGTTTGTGGTGGGGAGCATCTTTCACATGGGATCTCATAGGTCACGTTTTTGGTTGTACATCGGCCACGAAGTCCGCTGTCGCAGGTGCGGCATGAACGGTTGCCAGCTCGGCATGGTGGTGGGTGGGTCAGAGATTCACTCGAGATTAGATTGTCTTTTCACTTTTTCCTCGGCTGTATCTTCTATCTTCTTTTCTGATCTCTGGAGAGAAACGGCGGGCGAGCGGCGACTTCAACTGCTGGTGAGCTGTGCCGTGGCGGCGGCCGCAGCCGTGTTTGCATTGGTTTATTGTAATTCAGACAAGGCGCTTTAAGTTAAGCCATGGATGAGTTAAGCTTTTGCTTTTGCGCCTGTCGTATTTGTTGTACCACAGACTTCTCTATATAAGTCTGTGGTTGTACGTTTCCAACGCCGGGTTTTGGTTTACTAAACATGGTTATGTTGATGATGATGATGGCCCGCCGGACGGTCGTGCAGCCACAGGACGACACCGTGACGGGCTGGCGGACAGCATTACATAGGGTTTTGTTCAGTTGAGGGACAGCAGCCAGGCTTCGCGTCACCTTCTGCGACTGCTGGCCTACCACGTCCCATCAAAATGTGAAATTTGCCAATGTTTGGTGCAAAATAATTACAAATGAAAAAGGACTTACGAGTATTTTGCAGTTTCCAACAGCACAGACCTGCAGCCGCAACTCTGTGCCGCGAGTCACCCTTACCTGCACCTCTGTGCCGGGTACGGCCAGGTAAGGCGGCAGGAAGGCCATGGCCAGCGTCTGGCCAGTGTTGTGGCTGTAGCAGCCCGACGTCGTGTTACCGACCACCTGGCGGCACAAACAGATGGGACTGTCATTTTCACCGGCTGACTGCAGCCATCAGCGCCTTTACCAGGGTTTTAGAATTTGACCGAACGGATAAAGGACCATGTGCTGTGGCAAGTCAGCGGCTGAAACTCTCACGGCGTGGATCGATCGAGCCTGCACCATAGTTTTCCTATATAGCTGTACTGCGCAAGTAGAGGAGAGTGGGGCAAAGCGGCCACCTACCTACCAAAGCGGCCTAGGTCACGTGATCTAAGGTCAACTTTTGACCTTTCGACCTTTCGAGGTCAACTTACATATGTTTCGATGCGGATCGACGAGAGGATCACGATGGTGCTATTAGTTTGTTCCTAGCTGGGATAACTTGAAAGTTATTCGAGAAAAACTTCATATATATGTATAGTGCCGCTATTTTGACTTCCTTTTAGCTCCTGTGACGTCATCTTTGACCTGACCTGAAAATGACCTGAGTAAAAATTATAGACCTTATCCGTGTGTACCCTTTACCGTTTACCGCTTGTCGCTATCTTGCTTTATTCTCGAGATCTCGCTGTCGCTCCCGCTCGTAATAATGGACAGGTCATAAAAATGACCTGACCTGAGGTCAACGCAGAGCGATAACCACCTTTTTTATTATCGCATATGCATGACAATCGATAAGGCTTTAATCGTCATCAGACAAAATTGTAACTTTCAGTGGGGAAAATATCAAGGTCACTCTTCGAAAAATAGGACAAAAGGTCACGTGATCAAAATTTTCACAAATTGAAAATCCGAGATAGCCAAAATGTTTGTTGGTTGATTGTGAGCTGAACCATATAAAGTTTTTATCGTAAAAAACCAATAGTTTCTGAGTTATAGGTCGCCAAACATAGGGCTGCAGCGCGAACTTCAGGAATTGCCCGAGGCTATATCTCGGAAACCGTTGTTCGAAGAAAAAAATCCTTGCCACAGCTGGCTTCCCCGCCCATCACAACCCCTTACACCAGTTTTCAACGAAGAATAAAATATGAGGGTGCAAATTTAATTTTTTATTTGTCGATTTGTCGTGGAACGCCCCTACGTCACACCCCGGCGGGTCAGCTGATACAACTGCGGAGGTGCCGGCGACTGACCCCGGTCGCTGGCGATCGCGGGCGGTCGCCGGCGACAGTTGCCGTCGCCGGCGACCGGAAAAGTTGCTACGTGTGAAACGGCCATAAGTTGACCTCACCCAAACAAAAAGTATATCATTAGACGCGCCTGAGCGAGGCAAACACAATGCTGCCAAAATCGCGGCTCTGCGGCCAATTTTTGCGAAGTTATTCACCAAAAACGCAACCGTACCTTGGGGCACTTGTCATGACCTCAGAGGTCACCGGTTGACCTAGGACCTTAAAATCGGGTAGCAATCTCTGCGTCTCGTAACGGCGCACACGCTTGTTTTTTTTTCGCGCGACGCGCTAGCTACACCATCTAGAGAACCCCCTTGGGAACCCCCTGCCGGCTTGTAGAGGGTTCGCGTCAGCAGCTCTTAAGGCCCCACACCCGTCTATAACGGCTCCGCACCAGCGTCTATGAGGGCCCACAGCAACGTCTGTAAGGACCCTCTGAGAGAATCACACTAGCACCTCTGAGCGCCCACACCGGCTCCACACCAGTGCCCAGGTTCAAGGGCAATGGGAGGACAGAAGGGCGCCGAACAATCAGTAGTGCGAAGTTGGTGGGGACGTATGGGCACCAGACGGTTGTGAGGGCGCCAGGAGACCATGAAAAGGGCGCCATTCTCCTAGAAGAGCTCCGAGTGATTGAAAACGTTATATGGTCCAGGGGCGCTGAGAGGCCAGAAGGGCGCCTAACAGTCAGTAGCGCTAAGTTGGGAGCGCTAACCGCAGGGGCGCCAATACGGTTATGAGGGTTTCTGGTGGTTTCTGGTGATATAGTATCGATTTGTCAACATCTGCTATTGTCATCCCGCTTTGGTTTGGGCCTGACCTTGGCCAGGGGTGTAATTTTACATCTCTTTGTGGGAGCAGATGCACCCACAATCCTGAATTATGCCCCCACAATGATAAAAATGCACCCACAAGTCTTTTACAAGCATCCTTTCGAGAGCACGGCGCCCTTCGCACATGCCCTAACGGCGTCCTCCTGACCGTCTCGCATTCCTGGATAATGTAACGTTTTTAATCACTCGGCGTCCGTCTGGGAGAGTAGCGCTATTTTGACAGCACTGCGCCATTCGCATAGTCTAACGGCGCCCTCCTGACCGTCTCGCGTCCTTATGTCTCTGTCCACCGTGCATCCCTCGACTGTTCAGCGCCCTTCTGGCCTCTCAGCGCCCCTGGACCACATAGCGTTTTCAATCACTCGGCGCCCTTCTAGGAGAATGGCGCCCCTTTTCATGGTCTCACGGCGCCCTCGTAACCGTCTGGCGCCCCTATGTCCCCAACAACTTGCACTACTGACTATTCGACGCGCTTCTGGCCTCTCAGCGCCCCTGGACCATCTAGCGTCTTCAATCACTCTGAGCCCTTCTGGGAGAATGGCGCAAGGAAAATGCCGTGTGTTGATGTTTAGATGTATAAAGGAAACAAGAAGGAAAGAAATTCGGAAAAGGGAGGAAAGATCCTTTCTCGCTGTCTCAATGTTGAGGGGCGCCGCCCCCTCGGCTCTCAAGTTGAGGGGGGGGGGCAAGCGCCCCAATGACCATAGACCCGGGAATAGCCTCCTCCTATTCCCGGGTCTATGGTCAGTACAAAGCGATTGCAATTGCAATGCAGTGCGATTAATGTGACATTTGTGTACCAAGTTTGAGTGTTATCCGCCCAGCCGTTCTTGAGATATGGAAGCGGCAACCCTCACGTGCGCACGTGCAGTAGCACCGCCATGGTGACACATGGAAATGCATTGGCCATTGGGTGCCAAACTATTGACGAAGTTTTGCTGTAATGGGCGCAGCCATTGCGGAGTTATTTTATGTTGAACAATTTCGACATCCCTAAGTTGGCACGTGGCACGTGCCGTAATATTAACTAAGATGTAGAAAATCGGACAAAATTCGGAGAAGAAGGAATAAGTCTACCCAATACAGGGTGTCCGGAAAAAGTTTACCCGTGAAAACTTTAATAAAATCCGCAACATGAAAAATATCTTAACAATTTTCACACACCATCATCACAAGGTCATGAGAAGTGTATGCTGTAATTTTCAAGAAAAATGGTTAATTATTGTGACTGGGATTGCATTACGAAAAAACATGTGAAAAACGCACACAATAGTGTATCTATTTGCACACGCATAGACAGTGTAATGACAAACAGCATTCATTCATTGACAGAATCGCACGCCTAGCCACGTCGTCGTCAAACATTAAACATCATTTCAGCAGTGGTCTGGTGTCTCTTGTTAAGTGACTGATGTGTTCAAAGTGCTGGCCACGCCTATTCAGACAGACGCTGTCGCTGATGCGGCGTTGGAAGTGATCCACCGTGCGTCGGCAGTGGCCCATGTCGGTTGGGATCTCCCCAACCACTAGCACGATTGCACTCTTAAGCTCAGCAATTGAAATTGGAAAAGGCCATCTTGCTGGGAGCATCGGAGAGTCTCCAGTTGAAGGGTTTGCTGAACTGAGTTTAAGTGCTTCGGTAAGACTGTGTTTTGGCATAACTTTCGACACAGAAAGCTTTTTGTTTGTTAGTGCGCCCTGGTTAATGCATGACATGTCAGTCAACGTGTGCGACTGAAAGTTACATTTTCGATGAATATGTGTGCATTTTAGAGCAGAGTATTTAGAACACCGGGTACAGTCAGAGTTTGGGACATGGTAGCAGTCAAATGTCGACAGAAATGGCGAACAAGTTACAAATAGAGGTAGGTTTATTCCACTGTTATACTTCCTCTTGAAAACTGTTAGCACACATGACGTCATAGAGTAAAAAGTCCCCATCTAAGGTCATTAAGACGAATTTTTGACATAATTAAATAACAAAATTATATTGTGTTACCTGTTTTTTCTTTTATTGTTCCAACAATCATTTTTATTATCTCTATTGGCAAATTATTTGTTGATTACGTCATCTGGGGCCGCGAGTCGGCGAATGCAGTCGGTCGGAAAAAAAAACACGTGTTTTCGGCGGCCGAGGTAAACAAATTACAGTATAGGTAGCTTTGGGTGATATGCTATTTCTATTATTGAAATCGCGTCTCCTGCCGTCAGTACTTTTTCGTCGCAGTGATTTTCACTTTTAGAATTTTCTTCAATAATTGTGGTATTCAGTTCTGCCTCTGATTTGCAATGGCAATTATTATTTGAAGTGAAGAAGGCCTTGTTATGGCCCTGCACAACCTCGCTGAAAAGTGAAACTGAAACGGCTGGAATAACAGTATTGCAACTGGTTTCAAATTCTTCTTCAAATTTCCTCGAAGTCAGGCTTAGACTTATGAATAACATCAGATTTGCAAGCATGTTCAAACTGCTCCATTAATCTCCAGAACATCAGGCTCTCTTCTGATGCTTACAATGCCTGTGGCTCCAACATTATATTGCTAAGAATGGCAGTTCAGCAAGATGTGTGTGCAGGCAGAGGCACTTAGCCAATGCACAATGCAGTGCAGATTAATTGTGGTGTGAATTTTGTGTGGATCAGTGCACAATGCGTGCCATGATGTGGTAAATTCCATGCCGAATGGCTGTGCTGTGATATGAGCTGACACTGTTGAGTGTTGATGCAATGCTATCTAAGAAATTTTCAGAAGGCAAATGAGACATCATTGAATATTAGTGTAGTTTCCATATAAGTGCAGAGTTCCCAAACTTGCAGCCTTTTTTCGTGTGATTGTGCACATTTCCAGCCTATGTGCGTGCTAGTGCGGAATACTTAGTTGCTAGATTGGTTGGAACAGCTTGTCAAGTGTCAACTCTGTGGTAAATGTGAAGATGAAGTCCAGTGAAGATTTTGAACATCTAACCTGACCTAACCTTACCTAGTCTAACTCAAAGCTTTCAACCTACCAATCAGGGC